TTTGCATATTCCTCCACACAATTACAACCTCTCCCATATAACAAATTTTCAACAAAATTCGCATATGAAGGAGGTAATGAACACAACAAAATCCAAACTTGATCTTCTTCATCAATTTTATTGTCCATACTTTTCAAATCCCTAATAACCTTTTTGAACTCATCAAGATGGTTTTGAATATGTGTACCTTCAGTCATACTGAGAGTGTATAAACGTCACTTCAAAGACTAAAATCATTTCTCCATTGAATTTTTCAATATCATATTTCACCGAAATATTCAAAGGCTTCATAGACATAATACAAGGCCCCAAGTCGAAACTTGGAGCTCTGTAACCATTTGTTGAGTGGAAGCGCCAATATGAAACTAATAAACTAATATGACAAAATATGACAAAACAAACGATTAGAAATGACACAAGAATATATATTGGTTCGGTGTGTGCTTACATTTGGTTTGGAGTCGGCAAGAAAATTCCATTAGTAATAAATAAATAAAAATTACAAAGAGTTTAATTTCTCAAACCCGAACCCCAAATACACTCAAAAATAGAAAACGGAAAAACAACAAAATATTTGTTTATCTACAATTACAAAGTTGTGGCGCTCAAGTTCCACTTAATTTCACTCTCAGGAAACCTTAAATGCAGCAACTTTCAATTATTTCTCTCTTCTATTGGGTGCTGGCTTTTTTTTTTCCTTCACACTAGTGCGACTGCTTCTATTCTCACACTCTCATCCAAAATGCACAATGTGAGGCTTTATATATGAGAGCCAAAGGGACGTAGCACGAGCTCTACATATGGCAACTAAAGAGCCACATCAATTTGGGTTTAGGTCTACAAAGAAAGGGTCAAGGCAATAGAAAAACCGCACCGCATCTATCGAATTTTATACAAATTTCAATTCAGAAGTTAAGAGAGCATAATTCAAGATATTGAGCCATCAAATCCAACAATCTCCACCTTGACAAAACTCCCTTAGCAACACGAAAACTCGAATTAACAATCATCATACGCACCTCAAGTATGAACTAGACAACAACAGAAGCCAAATCAAATACTCCCCTCTCAATGCTCATAATACACATTATCTTCTATGCAAAATAATGTGTGCAACAGACTGTGGCCGAAGCGTATAACTGTGAATGAAGCATGAGTATAAGATGGGGAAAGCTCAAATATGAAGCTTTTAAGAATTAATGATAATGGCCATATTTTCTTCCATCAAACCAAAGTTTTGGCCAATGCATATCCGAGGACCCCATCCAAATGTGAAAAAAGATACTAGCTTGGCCCTTTGCATGCTGTTAAAACTTCCATCTGAAAACCTCTGGGTAGAACTCATTGTCGCCCTCCCCACAATTTGTCACGCCCCGACCTGCGAATAAAGACTATTCACGAGTTAGGGTGTGAGTCATATTTTAGCTATAGAAACAAATTCTACAACCAATATATGGTGAAAAAAAAAGAAGATAAAATTATAATGATTACACCACACATCAACAAAATCTTTCAAAAAAATTTATCGAATACGTAATGGAAATAGAATAGTACACAAATTAATTCACAACAAAAACTACCAATTAGATGATAATTAAGTTGTAACAATTCTTTCAAATGCATGAAATATATGCAAATGAGATAGATGAATCTACTCACTCCCTTCTAATCCCGCTAACACATACCTAAGGCACCCAAGCCTGCACGTCCCATACCATGCTTATACCACTTGGCTCCTAGTACGTTAGAATATGAGTTAACTCCCGTTCATCCCTTAAACCCAATTTTTGTAATTAAACTCTCAGTTTCCATTTTATTAAACAAGCACTTCCCCTGATGTCCAATTGTATATTCAAGCCATTCTCCCAAAGCCTGACATATATAAGATTTCATTATTTTTATAATCAACCAATTTGTATACTCAAGCCCTGCACCCTACGCTTGACATATACAAGGTTCATTATTTTATATTCAAGGCAAACTTTAGCCCTTGAATATCCTCACAACTCAAACACTTTACAAGAATTAATACAACTCTTTTTCTTGCTTTGCAATGCATATGTCTATGTCATGTTCACATAGATATCAATACTCACATTTTCTTTAACAAGCATGTAAGTTTCAACATAAATCAAATTGATTAGTAACAAGAGTAATATAATCATAATATTGACAAAATAATAATCTTTAATGTAAATGATAAGCAATATGTTACCATTTCCTCCCTATTGTTCTCTTCACCACTTCCCTTTCCTCTTCTTTAATATAACTGAAATTCTATATATGTAGTAGGGGTCGGATTGCTGAAAAACTTCCATGGAAGGGAGAGAAAGAAACTGGAGATGTTGGCCATGCAAAGAGGTTGGCAGAGAAGGCTAGCTCAACCAAATATCAGCTGTTCAAACTGGGGTACAAGTCAGCACATAGATTGGATTGTCGTGGTTTGTGGATATGTTATAGAGGAGATGATAAGGAACAACTTTTGTGAAGGAAGTGTTTCGATTGGAGCTACGAAAAATGGGGTTTTGGTACTCATAACATGGCTGTCCAGTTTTCTGCGGGATTAGAGACTGAGTTGGTATTTCAAACAGATTGGACGATCGTACTGTTTGATTTTCCTTAAATTTGGATATCATGGTAGAGAGACAGACACACAACTCTCATGAAGAAAGTACTATGATATAATCTATGGGTGATGGTGTTTTGGTCTGTTAAATAGGCTGGACGAATTTCTAGTTTTTAGATATCTTTCTTTTGATAGATGAAAATGACGGTGAGTTTGGTGGAGATTTGTTGAGTAAGGTCTCATGTATTTTTCTAGGATTTGTCTCACACTTTTTGTACATCATTCTCAAGGGATATAAATAGAGATTTTCGATAGTTTGGTGGAAGTGCTTCTCATGGAAATGATCTCCAAAATATAAATAAATAAACAACACAAGATTTAAGTGGTTTGCCAAATCGACTACATCCATTGGGTTTACTTTCATTGTATTTCACTATTTATGAGAAACTTATAAATACAATGAAAGATGGCTTAAAGCCTTAACAATATGTATATGAAAGATAAGGAGGGTAATATGAAAAAGGAGAATGGCTTTGGAGTTGTTCTTTTTCTTTTTTCTTTTTTCTTCTTCTTCCTCTCTCTTTTCTCCCTTGTCTTCCGTTGGTTTTTGCTCCTTCCTTTATAAAGATTGCATGACATCTTCCTCTCCAAAGAATATCCACAAGTGTGCCAATAGAAAAAAAGCAAGTGTTGTGCCAATCATTAGACATAAAATGTGTTCCAAAAGGAACACACGAATTGTTAACCTAATCATCACCATGAAATGTGTTCCAATAACAAGGCAACAAATGTAGTCCTAATCCTTAGCAATGAAATGTGGTCCAATAGAAAAACAACAAATGTGAAGCTAATTATGAACTAAAGAATAATATGCAAGATGTTCCTTGCATCAAAGGCCACGTGAAATGTTCTAACCACAATAAGTTGTCATCTTCCTTTATTTAGAGTGGTGAATATCATGCAAAGTGGACAAAAGCTCAAAAGCCATGTTCAAAGTCCAAAGGATATGAATCCCACCTCTTCAAATTTTGGAGGGATGAATCATCACCATACATTTAACTCTTAGATTCCTAATGAATACAAACTTGCCAACTCACCCTTAAGTAGACTTCCACCTTCACATTTAGAGTGGTGAGTAATCACCAAATCATTCACTCCTAATGTTACAAACTCTCCACTTTGAGAGAAAATATGAAGACAAAATTACTCATTTAGTCCAACCTCAAACTCTTGGCCCTTTGTGAGGAAAATCAAACCAAACTCATTTAATCTCCCTTCTCCAATTCAAACTAAAAATATCTCTAATTACATATGAACATGAAATAGCTAGTTTTTGAAATAATTTGTAGCAAAAGGATTTTACATTGAAACTATTCTACATATCGAAAATAGGTTCTTGTACGTAAAAATAATTACTCACATATATACATATATACATATAACTATTTTTTTTTTTAAATACGGGGTATTACACAGTTCTTGGTTAAGGTGAGCTGTTTTCCTCGTGCATAGCTCGAACAAGCACAGGTAGTGGAGGGTATGACCTAAGAACCTCGTATAAAATCATGGTTACCTGTGGCATTTTTTAGTTAATTAGTCAAAAGTGTTAATTTTTAAGAATTATAAATTATCAGTTACATTAATTTTACAGAATCACATCTCTTGTAAAGTGGAATATCCACTTGCATATAAATGACGAGTTTCAAGTTGATCATTCCATCCCGGGTACACGTGTCTGAAATGTGATGATACAAAAAATACTAGTAATTAAATAAAAAAAAATTTCCCAATTTTTTATAAGAGGATGTAATAGCTAGTAAAGTGGTTCCAATTAGGAACAAATGAGAAGATGCCACATCATTTGAGATTGAAGTTTCGGGACAGGTTTGGTATCTCCTATAATATTACTAGTGGCACACAAATTTGAAACTATCTTTTTGAAACAATTTTAAAGTTGTCGCAACAAAGTTATTCCAGTTGTTACAGAAGAGAACATCTGGACTGTAAAATAAAACATGCATGCCGTATTAAACAAATCAATAATGTAGGTATCAAGTAATATGCTAATTAATGATAAATTATCCATTTATTTGATAAATTTAGATGACTAAATCATATCTAATTGAATATATTTTGTAGGGATGATCTTTAATTGAATATTAAGAAATTGAAGGTTTTGAATATGAAATTTCTACGGGAAAAATGCTTATTTGCAAGTGGGGAATGAAAGTATTATTCCACTAGCTATAGTTACAAGTTTTAGGTGAAGTAGCCCATCTAAATCCAGGTTGTTGTTACCAAACTACACCTCAAAACCTCTTCTCTTGCACGAGCCTGGCAACTTTGATATCTACTCACCAAAACCATTGTCCAAACAAGTAACTCTCAGATAGTCTCTTGTCCTACATGGTAAAACGACTTACATGCCCCCAACTATTTAACGTACGTTGTATTGCCAGAAATAATTCATTGAGTAGTACTGTTAATCCATGAATATGTATAGGACTCATTACAATGGAATGACAATAAATAATTATTAAGTTAATATCAATATTGATTAAATTATGAGAATATATTGATGTCCTTATTCTCCATCAACTTTTGTCGCAACTGCTATGTATATCCGTCATAACTAATCAAAGTTTGTGTAAAACGATATGCGCACCAAACTGTGGTTGAAGGGTGGTAATTCCAGAAGGAGCATGAGCATAGGATGGAGAAAGCTTAAAGGTGAAGTGTTGTAAGATCAATGCTACGGCCAGTTTTGCTTCCATCATAGCAAAGTTTTGTCCAATGCAAATCCGTGCACCCCCTCCAAAAGGGAAGTATGTAAGTTTGTTCTTTGTTGCCTTTGAAACTCCTTCTGCAAACCTCATTGGCTTAAACTGCGTTGCATCATCACCCCACAATTCTTTGTCATGGTGAATTAGTACTGTGGGCAGGGAAATTTCGACTCCAGCCGGTAATGAGAATTCTGTAAATTGTGTTTTCTTGTGAATCATTCGAGAGAGCGTAACAATTGATGGATATAATCGTAGAGCTTCAAGTAAAATCATGGTTACCTGGGGAGTTATAAAACCAAACCAATACATATTAAGTTAAACTTGGCTTATATAATACATCAAAGGACCATCGAATTAAACAAAAAATGAGATGAAATAACCTAAAATTGTACAAAAGAAAATGTGCATTAGGAGTCTCAACGAGCTTATGGAAGCTTGGAGAAATGTTCTCTCACCAGCCTATATTCAACTTGACATGCTTAATTATGTTGTTAGAATGTAAATCACAACCGTCTATCAGATTTGGTTTCCCAATAAATGTAGTTCACATTCACTTTGTAGCAACATAAGCATTTTCCTATCGCATACGTTTGGTAAACAAAAATAACTCCAAGGTTTGATGATTCCGCCATGCATAACATCAAAATGTTTTATTTTCGCTTGTAAACCTAATGAAAATGTTCAAATTAAAATATAAATTAACGTTTTTTATTTTAAATATTAAAAAAAAAAAATGTAAAATGTGAATGTATACACATTCTATACTTACAACTTTAAGGTGATTTAGCCCATCAACGTCTGGTTTTTCCCCTCCAAAGACTTGCAAAACCTCTTCTCTTGCACGATCTTGCCAATTCTGGTTTTCACTTAGTAAAACCATCGTCCAAACCAGCAATGTTGAAGTGGTCTCTTGCCCGGCAAAGTAAAACAGCTTACACTCACCAAGAATGTCTTGAATGCTCATTCCAACTTCTTTTTTGTTCCCATGTTCCTTTATTTCCTTGTTGTTGGACTCCAAAAGCAAACCTAATAAGTCATCTTTTGCGGCTTCGCCTGCCTTGATCGCCTCTTCTCTTTTATTTATAATACCCATTAATAACTCTCTTATTTCTTTGTCAACTCCTTTCAACCTCTTATTCATCTTGGTTGGTAGAAATCTGCATAATAGAAGTATATGTTATTCCAATGGGTTTTGTAAGCTATAGATACGATATTATCGAAGAAAACTAGTACATTTAAATTGATTAATATGGATGTGAAAAAAAAAAAAAAAACCCAATTATGAGATTTAACTTGTAGAGAACCCGCCTCTCGTAGGGACTTTTTCTACTGAAATATTGGTTTCTCTAATAACTTCTCCTAACAACCTTTCACACTATTTACAAATGACACAAAAAGTTTTGGATAATAGTTATTTACCAGCTTAATAAAAGAATAAGAGTATGCTATGCTTCCCTAATTTTCATACCATGTTTGTACCATTTTTCTAAGAGGTAGGGTCCACCAATACAAGTTGGTCTCTATCCTACAAAAGGATGGTATCAATGTGATATGAAAAGTTTGATAAGAGTGTTGAGAATGAATTCCATATTGATGGAAATAGAGACTTTACATGAGCTTATAAGTAAGTTGGATTACTCTCTATATTGCCAATTGATTTTATGACGGAACCTCAACTTTATTATTTTAAAGAAAATATAAATTTACCTCCATCCTGGAATGTAAACACTTTGTTTCGTTTTCATTGTAAGTTCTATTTGCAGTTTCAAGAGTTGAAATATTTCTCTTCCTTCTTTGTAGCTACTTCCAAATGATGTTCGTGAAATCACATCTGCTGTCATATTTTGAAGATAAGGCCACACATCCAACTCATATGAACTCTCTTTGGACACCAAGCTCTCCCATTCCTCAATCATCTCGCTACAACTTTGGTAAATTGCGGGTAACATACGCTATAGCAAACAAAGAACAACAAAAAAGGGAAAAAAAAAACAGAAATGATCAATTCCATGATGTAATGCACACCTAATATTAATCCGATCGAATCAAACTGTTAAAACTTGAGAAATTAACTTAAATAATGGATACTGTCAAGAGTATGTATATATAATACCTTCAACTTCTCTGAATGGAATGCTGGGTTAATAATTTTTCGGTGTTTTGCCCATTTCTCACCTCCATAGTTTGCTAGACCTGTTAGTAACAACTTGACTAGCGGGTTTGCTGTTAGCTTCGGAAAAGCTTCGTGCTTTGTAAAGATGTTTTTCAAATCTTCTGGATTTGTGATATTAACCCTTGGTGTTGGGCCAATCCAAATGAAAGAATTCTTACCTGCATTTTTATATTTTACCATAAACGTTTTAATATATAAGAACTTCTTTACAAGAAGTCATCGGCAGCGTCTTACCACTTCTATATATCAGATTGTGAATATTTTTACAAACTGTCACCAAAAGCTATCTTATTTTTGTAAGGGAAGATTATACTTAGCAGCGAATATTGACATAAGGATGGTATTGATTCTGTACAAGGAAATGACGAAAGATAATTAACATACCATAAGTGCTCACAGATTGGTGGGCATAAGGGAGGACTCGTGGTGCTGTATCATGGGAGAGGCTCATGGGTTTAGACACTGCTTCTTTTAGCATCATGGATACTTCTTTCTGTAAGCCATATAATCCATACTCCACATATATCAGAGAAGAAGAAGACTTAAGAGAGAGAGAAAGAGAGATAGAAAGAAATAGATGACTTGGAGGGAAAGTTGTATTTCAATTGTATATTATTTCACTACAGCACAGCTACTTTATTACAAGATATTTATACTATCTAATGTAGCTTTCTTACTAAGCTTTCTTCTAACAACCTTATAACTGCAGATCTAATCTGTTGACATTTGGCAACAACTTAGCCATTCACTTAATACTCCTAACATCCCCCCTCAAGCTCAGGAACAGAGAAACTGAGCCGGAGATTGTGACAATGCCGCTGAAACAATGGGGCAGCCAACCCTTTTGTGAAAATATCTGCAAACTGCTCACCAGAAGAAACAAAATGAACTTTCAGAAGTTGATTAGCAACCCGTTCCCGCACAAAATGAATGTCAATCTCTATGTGTTTAGTGCGTTGATGTTGAACAGGATTCAAAGTTAAAGCAATAACAGAAAGGTTGTCACAGTACAAAGTGGGCTTTGGAGATATGGGAACCTACAGAAAATGTAATAACTGTGTAATCCAATCAAGCTCAGCAGCAGTAGAAGATAATGCCCGGTACTCGGCTTCTGTAGAGGACCTAGAAACGGTTTGTTGTTTCTTGGAGGACCAAGAGATCGGATTCGAGCCCAGAAAGACAACCAAACCAGTAGTGGATCTCCTATCATTCGGATCCCCTGCCCAATCTGCATCACTGAAAGCTATAAGCTCCAAATCACCCTTAACATATTGTATACCACAGCCCTGTGTTGCCCGAAGATAACGAAGTATCCTTTTTACTGCCAGAAAATGAGATTCCATGGGAACCTGCATGAATTGGCACACTTGATGCACTGCAAAGGCAATATCAGGCCGGGTGAAGGTGAGATACTGAAGAGCACCCACAAGACTTCGATACAAAGCTGGATTATTATATGGCTGGCCATCATCCTTCAACAATCTATTGAAAGGTAAACAAGGAGTGGCACACGGCTTGGAAGACAACATAGCAGACTTAGTAAGGAGATCTGTGACATACTTATCTTGAGACAAAAATATCCCACCTGGTTGCTGCACAATTTGTATGCCCAGAAAATAATGCAAAGGTCCTAAATCCTTGATATCAAACTCATGTGCCAAAGCATGAATGACCTCATTAATACAGACACTTGCACTGCCTGTGATGATGATATCATCAACATACAATAAAAGGATCACAACAGAACCACCAACAGATTTAACAAAGAGAGAAGAATCAGAATAAGTGGACTGAAACCCCAGTGAAGGTAGAAACTTAGTGAATCTGTCATTCCATGCCCTGGGTGCTTGCTTCAGTCCATATAAGGACTTATGAAGCTTACAAACATAATCAGCATGTTTAGAATCAAGAAAGCCAGGTGGCTGAGACATATATACCTCTTCTTGAAGAATGCCATGTAAAAATGCATTTTTCACATCCAATTGTCTTAAGGGCCAGCAATAGTGTGCAGCCAAAGCAATAACTAATCTCACAGTGGTTGGTTTGACTACTGGACTGAATGTCTCCCCATAATCTATGCCTTCTTCTTGATTGAATCCCTTGGCAACTAATCTGGCCTTATATCTCCCTATAGAGCCATCTGCATTTTTCTTGATTTTGAACACCCATTTGCAACCCACTAAGTTTTTGTGAGGAGGAAGAGGGACCAAGGACCAAGTACCTTGATTATGTAGAGCTGTAAGTTCTTCTTGCATTGCAGCATACCACACAGGAGACTGCAAGGCAGATTTATATGTAGCAGGTTCTACTTTGGTGAGATCAGCCTCTCCATGTTCATGTACCACAGACAAGAAAGCAATTTTCTTAGAAATACCACTCTTGGATCTGGTTTGCATGGGATGCAAATTGAATGTAGGAGCAGGTAGAACTACTTGAAGTTGGTCAGGCTGGAATTCAGGAACCACAGGAAGAGAGGAGGATACAGACTGATTTGTAGTGCCAGTAATGGGTGCAGCGTTGTTGAGATCACCATTGAGACTAACTGATGTAGCAGGAACTGGTGGCATAGACAGACTAGAGGCATGTGACAAATTATGTGTAGAGAAAGAGTGACTCCTAGTGTCCATGGAACTGGTGGAAGCAATCGGTGATGAACTAGACAGAATAGGACTAGGAGAAGAAGCAGAAGGGACAACTAGCACATTAGCATTGTTTGGCACCAAGATTGGATAAGACACATTTGAAGGAATGACTGAAGAGGAAACTGGTTTAACAGAAGACAAAAGAGTGGAATACGGAAATTCATATTCATCAAAAAGCACATGCCTTGAAATATACACCCTTTTCTTAAAGACCTCAAAACAGATATACCCTTTAAACTGAGAAGCATACCCCAAGAAAATTCACTTTGTAGTTCGAGGTTGTAATTTGGTACTGTTATAAGGTCGAAGCAATGGATAACATGAGCAACCAAAGGTTCTAAGATGCTGAATATCTGGAATAACATGAAAAAGTAGTTCAAAAGGAGATGTATGATTCAATGTAGATGATGGCATCCTATTAATAAGATAAACAGATGTTTGAACTGCATAGGACCAGAATAAAGATGGTAAGGAAGCTGTTTGTAACAGGGTGATAGAAGTCTCAATTATATGCCTATGTTTGCGCTCGGCTAAGCCATTTTGCTCAGGTGTATGAGGACAAGACAGATGATGAAGGATGCCTTTAGTCAAAAGAAAAGCTTGAAATGACTTCCCTATATACTCCCCTCCCCCATCAGTTTGTAATATTTTCACAGAGACATCAAATTGAGTGAAAACATATTGATAAAACGAGACATAAGTAGTGAAAACATCATTTTTATTGCTAAGGGGAAAAATCCAAGTATATCGGGTACATTTATCAATGAAAGTTACATAGTATTTAAACCCTTCAATGGACAAACACGGAGCTGGACCCCACACATCACTATGAACTATCTCAAAAGGTTTTACAGACTTAAACTGAGACACAGGAAAAGAAAGTTTGGTAAACTTTCCTTCTAAACAGGTAGAACACAACATGGGTGTTGAATCAACACTACAAGACACATTGGACTTTCTTAACATCTGAAAAACTATAGGATTAGAGGGGTGACCTAGTCTGTTATGCCATATTCTTGAAGCAACCTGCTGTCCAAGGTAAGCAGCAACATATGCACGTTTGGAAGAAGGAAGAGATGATGGTGAGATAATAGGATACAACCCATTACTGCACAGTCCTTTGTAGAGTATCATCCCTGTGGTTTTGTCCTGAATCCAAAAACAAAATGCATTAAATATCAACCAACAATTATTATCCAAGCAGATGCGATGAACTGACAACAGATTCTGTGTTAATTTGGGGACATATAAAACAGAATTTAATTTCAGAGACTGTAAGGGAGTTTGAAGAACTGTAGAGCCAATATGAGATATGGCTAAACCTTCACCATTAGCAGCTTGGATAGTTTCATTGGATGGATAAGGAGTGGCAAGAGACAGATTCTGTAACTCGGTGGTCATATGGTTTGTTGCTCCCGAGTCAGTGAGCCATACTTGCTGAGATGGAGCAGAGGGCTGCGAAGAATGAGATGGAGGTCCAGAAGTGGTATGAGTATACATGGCATTCATTGGAGTAGTAGAATTCTTCTGAAAGCAAAAAGCAGCACTGTGATTAAGATTTCCACAGATTTGACACCCGGAATTAACCCCACCATTTCGAAAACGACAAGTATCAGCAAAGTGATTATTTTTCCCACATAATTGGCATCCTTGAGAAACAGGAGCATTTCGAAATCGACAAGTATCTGCAAGATGATTATGTTTGCCACATATTTGACAAGGCACCAACAAAGGAGACCCAAACTGTTGTGGTGAACCAGACTGGTATGGAGAGTTTCCCAAGAGTCCAGATCCAGAATTGGAAAAGAATGGCTTGTTATGACCAAATCTGTTGGTAGAATTAAACCTTTCCCGGCCTTTATTCTTGTTACTAAAACCTCGAAAACCATTAGACTGAAAATTAGAATGAGTATTCTGAGATGAAAAACCATCAGAGGTCTTTGAAGATTGTTGAGCAGTCAAAGCAGTAAGTATAGGGGCAGAATGCATACTTTCAATCATTACTTCTTCAGCAAGTAATTGAGAACGGAGATCTTTTAAAGAAATAACAGTATCACGACCCCGAATGACCGATCGAATGGTATTGAACTCAGAAGAAAGGCCATTTAAAGTTAGAATGACAATATCATCATCATCAAAGTATACCCCAGCAGCGGACAAATAATCCCGAGCTTCCTTAATGCGTTGAAGATACAAAGTGACATAATCATTACCTTTCTTGATAGTTTGAAGCTCAGACTTCATTTGGAAAATACTAGTCCGAGTAACCGTGGAGAATTGTTCCTTCAATCTGACCCATAATTCCAAAGAACTGGTACTTCCAATCGCACAAGAAATTGCAGGAGGTGAAAGAGTTGCAGAGATGAGTTGCATCAACGCTTTGTCATGCATTTTCCAAATCTTATAGGCATCAGTCTCAACTCGAATAGCAGTAGAATCAGAAACCACTTCAGAATCCCCAGATAGCACATCGGAAAACCGAGAAGGACAAGGATGAGACCCATCGACAAACCCCATAATTCCATAACCTTCCAACAAAAGTTGCATCTGAAAATGCCAGGTCAAGTAATTAGTATCATCCAACTTCATCGTTACAGACGCAGAGACAGAAGAGATGAGAGAGGTAATGGGCGATTGCAAGATTTGCAACTGAGAGATGGTCACCATTGTTGAAAAATTGACAGAGAACAAACGTCGAACACTTGGTGTGCGGAAAGACAACCACAAATGAAGAACCCTAATTTTAGCAGAAAAAGCCCCAAACCAAAAATCAAGAAGCAAAGAATACAGAATACCCAAATATGAACAGAAGCGGAAGCAGATACAGAATACCCAGATCGATGAATCAAAAAAACTTTATGCTTTTTCTGGCGAAGATACCATGTAAGCCATATAATCCATACTCCACATATATCAGAGAAGAAGAAGACTTAAGAGAGAGAGAAAGAGAGAGAGAAAGAAATAGATGACTTGGAGGGAAAGTTGTATTTCAATTGTATATTATTTCACTACAGCACAGCTACTTTATTACAAGATATTTATACTATATAATGTAGCTTTCTTACTAAGCTTTCTTCTAACAACCTTATAACTGCAGATCTAATCTGTTGACATTTGGCAACAACTTAGCCATTCACTTAATACTCCTAACACTTTCAGGTCTCCTGACCAAAGCCTGTATGAATTGCCAGCAAGTCCTTGTTGCCTAAGGCATTTTTCTAGCTTCTTCGGCCTCAGCCACACCCAATTCAACACCCTCCATGCGCATGCTACTTCGCTGACCAAAACAACACTTAGAACAACACTAAAAGGCGCCATTGAAACTTCCATTGGTGTGATAGAGAAGAGAGAGAGAGAGAGATGGAGTTCATCCGTACAAGTACTTCCACAATTTTAGTGAGTGTGTGATCCTTTTGATTAAGAACAAAATATTTTTGTCCTTCTCAATCAACACCTATATCACTGTACTGGTGGAGAAGTTTATCTTACAACTAAAATATATACGGTAAGATCATCCGTCTATTAAGTGCTTTATTACATTTTCAAATAATGCGCCAACTGTCTTATAAAAGCTTTGTTATATAAATATATCCTGTTTTTGTGCGTAGTAAAAGTTGAGTCGGTGGGCTAATTTTGTTAAATTTGATGGCATCATTAGTCTAAAAAATACTTGTTATGCATACAAAAAGTTAATCAGTCAATAATTAAAAGTTTCTTACATGATAAATTAGTGATAAGAGGATATCTTGTTTTCGTGTGTGGTAAACTTGGAGTCCTTGGACTAATTTTTGATACGAGTTCAGTCATGACGAGTGCATTTGACTTTGTGGTCCTTGTTGTGGTGGGGTATCCTTTTTTAGGAATCCTTGGACTAATTTTGTGATGAGTTCAGCCATGACGAGTGCATTCCACTTTGTGGTCTTTTGTGGTGGTGCCGTTCTTCCTTTTAACAATCGCAAATTTCCTTGCCGACATATCACATCAGAAGTGTAATAATAGGACAAGGATTGTCTGTCCTCTTACTTTTCGTTTTTTTGTGTCCTCTTGTTTTATGTAGTTACGGTTAAGTCACGTCAACATTTTATATTACTATTCATTTTTGTCTTATTATCTTTATAAAAAAAATAATATAAAATTTTGTCGTGGCTTAACTGTGATCACAAAAATAGGAGGGCACAGGAAGTGGGAGGGCAGACAATCCTTGTCCATAATAATAGGACCCGGCTTCTCTGCCCTCCCACTTCTCAGACACACCCATCCCCTCCTATTTTGTATGATCACGGTTAAGCCACGTCAATATTTTATATTGATTGTTTTATAGAGATAATAAGATAAAAAGTAATAGTAATATAAAATGTTGACGTGGCTTAACTGTAATTGCACAAATAAAAGGAGATGAGAATGTATAGGAAGTGGAAGGGCAGAGATGTAATACTAATGGATTCCATAGTGGGAATAAGAGGTGACGTTTATTGTCGAGCATATGAGCAAAGATGCATATGAAGAGACAGGGTCAAACTTTTGGAAAGATAGGTAGTGAATGATTTTCTTCTATTCATTTGAAGAATGCAGTCATCTATCATGCATAAAAGGAAAAATAACTCAACTTTTTCATTGACGGTTTTGGAGAATGACTTAAAAACAAACAAGTGTCCTTGAAAAATAATTATAGCCCATAATAGTTGAGTTTACAACTGTTAAGAATTATCTTTGTCATATAATTGTAATATTTTACTTTCCTGATTTTGTCTAAGATCAAATCTCATCATAGATGAATCACGGATTCCTAGCCTTAGAAATAGGTGTGGTTGAATGGTGTGTGTGTATATATTATATATATCTTGTATTGTTGACAATGAAAGTGACCAAAAAATCATTCACCAAATTATTTATTGAATATTTATTCAAGTTTCAAATCTATCATTTTTAAAATAAATACTATTAAACTAAAATACTAAATGATACAAAGCACAACTTTCAAAATTTTTCCGCTGCCAGAAAACACAAAATCCAATTTTCAACACTACAAGAAAAGTCTAGACCCAATCCCAAGATTTTTCCACAGGATCAAATGCATATTTGAGTAAGCCATCAGACTTTCGTTGGGCTGATGTCCCATGGCAGCAAATGAATCATCAGATGCATCACAGCAAATGCATCATCATCGTAACATGAAGCCAAAGCATGCTGCCAACAAATGCAGCCAACGCATCTGCCAGCGCGGACGACAAGGCACCTGCCTTCTTACATGCTGCCAACACAGCAGATGTCTCTGCAGGTCCGGCCCAGACCTCCAATTGAGGCCAGCAGTCTCAAAGCTTTCATGCGCCGGCCCAGTTCTCCAATTCACAGTCTTCTCAACTGAACCCAATAAATGGGTTTCTGCAAAAAAGCATCAACAACTCGCTCACACCATATTTATAATAAATGCAAACCGCGTCTTTAGTAAGAACAATTCCTATGCAAATGATTCAGGTATGTCACCCTTTAGAAATGTCTAAATTAATTCTACTTTAACTTTGGATTTTGACTGGCAGAGCTACTGACCACATTTCACCAAAGACAGAATCTTGCCCAATACCCACTGTTAATTTACCCACCGGATCTACGGTTCCAATCACTTCCACCGGCATTGGACCTTTCAATTCAGATATCATCTTAGACAAAGTTTTATGTGTTTCCTCTTTTCGCTTAAATCTCATGTTTGTCAGTAAAGTCACTAATTCTTTAAATTGTTGTGTCCTTTTGTTTTCCACTTTTTGTGTCTTGCAAGACATGGCTACGGGGAAGATGATTGGTTTGGGTAAACAACACGGTGGTCTCTATTACGTGTCTCCATTACAAAGGACACGTGTCTCAAATCAAGTCTCTCTCCCTACATTCCATCGAAGGTTCATCTATGGTAACGCAATCTAAACACTTCACTTTTCTTGGCCACTGCTTGAGTCTAAAGTCATTGACTAACTTGACCGTCGGAGAGCCTTTGGCCGGCACACCCCTAATATTAGGCTTGCTCACGATTGTTTATTGCTTTGCAGGTTGCTCAAGTTTGTGCTCAACCACCACTTATAGCGAGATGCGAAATTGGTTCCAACGAAGGAGGATATTCGAGATAAAGAAAGAGTGGCCGCAATTGAAGATAAGATGAGAGAAAATCGAATAAGGTCGTTTGGACATGTGAATTGAAGACCTATAGATAGGTGTGGGTTCAAAAAACCGAAAACCAAAAAAAAGGGACCGAACACCAAACCTAAACCGAAAAACCAAAAACCAAAAAAGGAAAAACTGAACCAAACCAAACTTTATTGGTTCGGTTTTAGTTTTGAAGGTTTGGAAATCAAACCGAATCCCTTACACTTTATGAGTGTATGCCCAACTTATTTCTTTTGTGAAACTTTGTTGCCAAGTTTGAAACTTAGCCTAGGGCTTTTTCAAGGAGCATAATTGGGGAGGATATTCCATTAGTTATGCAGGAAAGTTTTGGAATGCTTTGGAACTTGGAAGAGTTTCTCTATTTGTTTGCTTTTTGAATGGATACGGTGATCATTTTCTTTGCAATTGAGGTTGTTGATAGAATATGATTGATTTATATGATCTTGTATATGTACAACTACCTTCCTACTTTCCCCATTTTCTTATTATTAGTCTACCAATGCAAGCCTCTTTTCTAAACTTCATATTAAAAAAGATAAATTTTATAAAATAAAAAAATCGAAACCGTACTGAAACCGAACCAAACAAAACCAAACCGAAAAAAATTGAACCGAACCGAAGTTTTGTTTGGGTTTCGGTTTTAGGAAAAAACTGAATCGAATGAAACTGAACCCACCCCTACCTATAGATACTCCGGTTAGAAATGCGATTATGAGATAGGGGCTTAGGGAAAAAGGTGTAGAGAAAGACTTATTAAGACTTAGAAAGAGACTTTAAGAAAAGACATTGAGTACTTGGAGCTAAAGAAAGACTTGGCTAAAAATAGAGCACAGTGGTTTTCTATGATTCGTACAAACGACCCCACTTAGTAGGATAAAGTTTTCATCATTGTCGAATGTAATTTATATAAAAGTTAGTGCAAAAAATATCATTAGACCGATCCAATTCTCATACAACCACCTTCACACATCCCATTTTACTTCACACACTCTAAAAAACTATAAAACTGAGAGTTAAAATAGGATGTGTGGAAATCACCACACCCTTATTAATTTAGCATCAGTATATCTATAGTTCTATAATACATCGTTTAATACAAACGCATGACCATCTTTATTAGTTTGATATCCATTCTTCATCAACTTTTTCATCAACTTTTGTGCAACGGCCAAATCAATCATAACTAATGTTCTAAAAATCCTCGCCTAGTGGCGGCCTAGGTGCTAGGCGGCTGGCCACCGCCCGATTAATGCCTAAGAGTTTGAAAATTAAGAAAGGGGGCCTAAACCTGGTGAGGCACCTGCCTAGTTTGCCCAGACCCGTCTAGACACCCGTCTAGGTTGTGACTCATTTAGGCAGAAAATAGATAACTTTCATTTTGCATTTTATTTTATTTTATTTTCAATAAATTGTAAGAGACTTGTTGAATACTTAAATGAGCACACATTATATGCTTGTTTCTCATGTTTTTATATGTCCAATACTTCATAATTTATGTGTCATTTTATTTTGTAGTTTATGATGAAATTATATATATTGTAAGTATAAACTACACTTATTTACATGAAATATAATGGATTTAGTTAAATCCGCCTAGTCTGCCTAGGCGCCCGCCTAAACCCCGCCTAGCCGCCTAGGCACTAAACCCCAGCTCGCTGTCCGACTAGTGCCTAGCATTTTTTAGAACCTTGATCATAACTAATCAAAGTTTGATATGGACACCAAACTGTGGTTGAAGGGTGATTTTTCTAGAAGGAGCATGAGCATAGCCTAGACACCTATCCAGGTTGCGACTCATTTAGGCAGAAAATAGATAACTTTCATTTTGCATTGTATTTTTTTTTTAAATAAATTGTAAGAGACTTGTTGAATACTTAAATGAGCACACATTATATACTTGTTCCCCATGTTTTCATTATGTCCAATACTTCATAATATATGTGTCATTCTATTTTGTAGTTTATGATGAAATTATATATATTTTAAGTATAAACATACACTTATTTACATGAAATATAATGAATTTAGTTAAATCTGCCTAGTCCGCCTAGGAGCCCGCCTAGGCGCTAAGCCCCAACTCGCCATCTGACTAGTGCCTAGCGTCTTTTAAAACCTTGATCATAACTAATCAAAGTTTGTGTAAAATGATGTGGGCACCAAACTGTGGTTGAAGGGTGAGTTTTCTAGAAGGAGCAT